CTGTTGGTCTTCCTCAGCAGCATAGCCTTCTTCTCTGTCTATAGGTGTTTCCAATACCCTTCCCTGTTATTCCTCATTTCCAGGTGCACAAGGATCCCTGGTGCAGTACTTACCTAGGATACTCTGTTCCCCAAAAGAAAGGCTTTTGCAGTTCTCCTGCTGGAAATCCTGCAACAGCAAAACCAATAATAGTGAGGTCCCTAGTTCAATACAGCTGAATAACAATCACAAGATCCAATGGTTTGGATTTTATGACCTTTTGGGTTTAGTTTCAGAAGATTTTGCTAGAGGAGCAAGTGTTAGTTTCAGAATGCAGTAGAGAGGATCTTTAAGAAGAGGCAGAGATCCCCCCTCCTTCAAGACGACAATAGCAACAAGATGCTGCAGGAACTTTATTTTCTTCCGTGGCTACACACGTGTCTGTGTGTGTAAGTGAATGTGTTCCTGTGAATAAACACCTAGCATTTCCTGTGAAAAAGAACAAAACTATTGGATTGCTCTCAGCTGTTCACAGATCAACAGAGAATGTATAGGCAAAATGCAACAAAAATTAGGAAACTGTTAGCTTAGTGAGGCTTCAGTACAGCAAGAGACATATGGAAGTGATGAAATGTAAGCCTATATAGTCTATGAAAATCAGGCATTAATGAACATACTTAGGCACTTTAGTAAAGGAGAGCTATAGACTATTATTACTGTAGAATCAGTCTAACTACAGGAATTACCTGGCTACTTCTGGTAGACTAACTAGTTGCCAAAAACTGGTCAGTGGAGACACTCGAGGGAGTGATGATCTACTGATGTGGCACACAGGAACCAAAATTGTTCCTCAAATTCAAAGTCATAGATCTATTTCTAATTCCCAAATGACATTTCAGTGCCACAATTCTGAGGACAATGGAGCTGAAGGTGGTAACAGCCTAACAGCCAAAAAAATTGCTAAATAAAACAGACCCCTAAGGTCAAAGTTTTCAAATGCTGGTGAAAAGTGCAGTCCTTCCAAGCCCATATGTGGAATTTGATGTCTAACATCAGGAATTGTCACCTATAAAGCACAGACATACACCTACTTTGAAGATCACTTCACATGGACATCACCTTGTCAATGACGAACCAGTTTCCCACAGTGATTCTGTTGCTTTCCCAAGAACCTCTGCCAGTCAGATCAAAACAAAAAACATATTCATTTGTTTCTAACTCTATTCAATTTTTTATTGATAAATAGGGTATGTATTTCCTTATATCTGAGATAAATTGTCAGGCAAGATTATTGTCCTTTTCATACAAAGTCTTTAAAGACAATATGCTGAGTGTCATTCATGTCAAATGATGTGGCACATAGTATATCCTTCTGGCCTGCCCGTCTGCTTTTTTCTGCTGCTCCTCCCTGGCTGCCCTAACTATCTATTTGCAATTAGCTTACAAAAAAATGTGTTTTTCAAACTTATTTTCTGAGTGATTTTTTTTTCCTCTTACTTCTCCAGATGCAGTTTTGTTGTTTCAAGCATGTTATCATTTGCTTTTCCAGTGCTACAGAACCCAATTGTACCAATGTGAAGGACAAAATATTTCTGATCTAACTCTCTTTGCCACCAGCACACACAGAAAAGTATTTACTATGTATGTTTTTAAACATCTTGCAGCAATGGTACACTCATGCAATCTGATGAAAATTGCTTGTTCGTACTTTAAGTTAAGAGCTGGTGTTAAGAGCTGGAAATCTAGTCTGAACTACATTTCCTGGTTTCTTCCAAGTATTGAACCTCAGGAAAAATTTTTGGACAGGTTAATAGACCATTTAATGAAGGAATCATTAGGGTTTGCTAACCATGGATGATCCTCTTCCCCCAACAGCAGATGAGAGAAACTGTGGCCAAAACAAACAAATGAGTCTATATGAAAGATCATATGAACTAAGGCATCACAGTCACCCCACAAATCATGTTTAGGTATCACACAATCCTGTGTGCTTGTCACCATAGCAAGAGACTATCAAGATCTTATAAAGAGCTGCAACTATTTTGTCCAGGTATAGACTTTTGTAATGAATTTGCACTTGTCTGTGTGCCAGGTAGAGGCAATATACATTATTTACAGTAGACTACGTGCAAACCTTCACTCAGGCTCATCCATCCAAGAAATATAATCTAAAGGTGTCTTCGTAGGACATTGCTGAAACACCATCAGATATGAGCCAAGAGACAAAGTTTTTACTGAACAAATCACATGAATGGGAAAAAGCTCCAATCCTGAATCCATGCAACAGGTTAATAATTATTTTACTCAAGATCCATTTAGGTAAGACACATCTTAGCACACAGTTTGTTGAAGGAGTGGTTTCTGCTTCTGGGCAGCTGTGTGAAACACCTTTGTTGTTTGGTTGCACTAAAGGAAGCTTAGGAAGTATTTTCAGGCCAAAGCAGAGTCAGAAGCCACTAGAATGTTATACACATTTAAGAAAAACTCAGGGAATTGAATGTATTACCCACAATAGGATTCTTGTCTTTTTTTAAGAAGAAAATTATCTAGTTTTCAAAGTGATTCCTGGGAAGCTAGTGAAGCAAAGGTGTCCTGTTCTCCAGAGATTAGTAGCACTAAATGAGGGAGGGTGCTTGTTCACTATTGCAACACTTACAAGAGTTTTGGAGCTGGCAACACACGGCATCCCCTTGTTCACTATTGCAACACTTACAAGAAAGAGTTTTGGAGCTGGCAACACACGGCATCCCTCTGTATGCCATGTGTCCTGCAGGCAAGCATCAACCAGATCATCCTCAGAGGGAACAAGGATAACAATGTCCTAGACCTGTGAAATTATAACAGGAGATAGAACACCTGACAGTTTCTTATTTTATGCTATTTTGAATCCCTCAGTTTAGGCAATTCTCTTGTGAAGTCTGTTTCTTGCTTGCTTGGCATATTATACTTAAAAGATTTAATGTCAAAACTCAGAAAGCTCATAGTAGACTGTAGAAGCAATAAATACTAATGGGATTATTTATATACCACTGGAGTTCAAGCAAGCAAAGCACTGATCTGGAGAAGTAAGTCAGCCAGACTTCAGAGTGTTTCACATTTTAAGGAATGGTTACAGGCACTGGGAAGGTACTTTAAGCTAACACTTCACCATAAATTTAGCATGCAGTGCATCTGTACTTTCTCCCCCTACACAGCCCCAGAAGAGGGATATGGGCTGAAAGCCTCTCTCTCCACACACTTTATTGCTAGTGCAGGCTCGGTGCCTACACTCAAGGCTATTACCAACAGTACATAGAAAGAAAAGTGTGTTGTCTTATTACAGACCCTACATAAACCTATCTGGCAACGTGAGCCAGCTCCTTCAGCACTCCTATGTCAGAGCCCATGGACTTGTGTCTGCCCTGTCTGTTTAAATATTCCTTAACCATCTCCTCCACTACTGAGGGTAAGTCTCCTTGCTCCAGACTTCTCTGGTCTCAAGGGCCTGGGATTCCTGAAAGCCAGTCTTATCAGTAAAGACTGAGGCAAGGAAGGCATTGAGTACCTTGGCCTTTTCCATGTCATTTGTCACCAGGTCCCCTGCCCCTGTTCAGCAATGGGACCACATTTTCCCTAGACTTTCTTCTGAAAGAAACATTGCAGAATCCCTCACCAAATTCATCTCCAGGTAGGCTTTGGCTTTCCAAAGTCCTGTGTCTGGACCCTTGAATAGTGACTCTTTGCTGAACTTTCCTCCTGCTCAGGAACACGGGTGCATTTCAAGCAGTGAAGTACATCTGGCTTACTTAAATTATTTTACTCTGAATTTACTCTGATCTTGAAGCTCTGATAGCACTCTGTATGTTCACAGGACTACTTTTAACTTAATTGAATGTTTCTATGTTCTTTTTATCCATTATATACTTTTTAGCTGCTCTAAGCAGCAAGGTGTTATAAAGCTTGCTAGAATTAATTTCAAATTTGATTATTTTTCTTTTTCCCCAATTTTACAGGGGCTTTACTGCCATTAGTGAATCCATTTAACAGCTAATACCTTCTTGGTATTACTATACACATTTTGCAGATGAACACCCTGAGACTCAGTGTAATATTGTTACTTCACTAAGGAAACACAAGCAATCACATTTCATCTGATAGTTTGCTGAAACAATGCAGACTGCTAATGGATAAAGTAAACTAAAAACACATGAGATGTCTCACTAAATCATGAGGAAATTTGGAGTTCAAATCTAAATATGAATTTGAATCCTATAGTTCATTAGTACATTATTTAGCTATATTGCATGATATTTTTTATTGAGCAAGACAAGATCTAGTAAAGCCTTATTCCAAGATCCTTTACAATTTCCAAAAACTGGTTGGTTTGTTTAAAGCAACTTCTGAAAGGGTAGTGAATCCAGTGTGTAAATAGCTGAAAGAGGGTAGGTTTAGATTAGATATTAGGAAGACGTTCTTCACTGTGAGGGTGGTCAGACACTGGAACAGGTTGCCCAGAGAAGCTGTGGATGCCCCCTCCCTGGAAGTGTTCAAGGCCAGGCTGGATGAGGCTTTGAGCAACCTGGTCTAGTGGAAGGTGTCCCTGCTGATGGCAGGGGGATTGGAACTAGATGATCTTTAAGGTCCCTTCCAATCCAAACCATTCTATGATTCTATAAGCAGAAGACCAACTGCTGGTCAGTGAACAAAGGGTACTGAATGCACATGAGGAATTAAAGATGAAGATGACTAGGTTATTGGTTACTTATCTAAAAACAGCACAAAGGGCAGTATACATTTGTTTAAAATGTTTCCACAGACTTCTGTTTGGACAACTGAATCTCTTCCCAGTGCCTTTTGAGATGACTTTGCATGTCCTGCTTGGGCACTAGCTCACAGTCTCAATGGGCAAGGTTCTCCTTTAAGTTCTCTCTCAGATATGCCAGACATGAGGAAACATATTGCATGCTTTGAGCACCCGTATGTAGGTGATTAGGATCAAACTCTCTGTCATAACATGGACCTGAATCCTACTCCTAACTATCCTCTTTGTCCAGTGGACAAAGAGGATAGAAAATATAAATTGTGTAATGCACAGTAACTGTTCCATGCTACGCATTACTACAAAGCTTAACTTTACAAGGACTAGTGAATAAATTCATTCAAGTGATGGTCTTAAAGCAGAGGACTCAGCAGCCTCTGGTTCAATTCTT